AAAATATCAATTTTGCACCAGAGCCTGAGAAAGCATAATAGAATGCATTTCCCTTTGGAAATCTTAATGAGGCTTGTGACTCACTTCACTGGGTTTCAGTGTTAGGGGGCGAGGGGGGGGGGGAGAAAAGTTTGATGTGCACAAATTACTATATTACAAGAATGCAAATAAAATGCATGGATTTTGCAAAAACCCATGTTGAACTATGCACAAAAACTTTCATGCAGCGAAAGAAGTCCCATTACCTGATACATAGATATGGCAGAATAGGTACATGATTCCGAAATTGAAAAATTCAACAGGTCAAGATTATATTTTCTTTGCCAGGCTACTAGTCAATCCAACTCTTTTTGTTTTTATAGTTTTTATTATTATTCTGCCTTGAGTCCAGGATTATTGTGAGGTTTTTAACAACCAAGACAAGATTGCAAGGTTTGTGTAGCCTACAAAGTGCAGAACTAAGATTCCAAGATGTTTGAGGAGCTACAGCTAAGTAATCTGATGTTGCAGGGAAGAAAAAGGAGGAAGAAAGAGGCTACAAACCTAAGTGCCATTGTAATCACATCCTTCCTAGCAGGCAACTCACTGGTCACTGTGTGAACAGAATGTCAGATTAGATCGGTAATAGGGTCTGAAAGATCCATCATGTGTAATTAAGTGTGCAAAGAAGTTTCCTTAACATGCACACATCAATTAATGTAGGGAACAGATGGGGACAATGCCGAGGTACAGGAAAATAACTACTTAAAGATGCATTATGAGTAGCAAGATTCCTTTATTTCTATCTAAACTTCTTAAATAGGAGATGGAGAATGTTGGAAGTGCACATGACTTTGTTGGAAGGGAGATCTTTTTCAGAAGAAACAGGTGGGTCTTTCAGGAAGGCCAAGGAGGTCTGTCCTGCCAGATTTGGGTTGCCATGATTCTCTGATTAAAATTCTGAGTTTCAGAACAGTGACCTCAGATTAGCTAAGGGACACTTCCAGCTCAGGCCAGCCAGTTACCCAAAGGCAGAACATTTTCTAGAGGACTACCTGATTCCCTCGTCTTTCCTTGCAATTTGGTTTCTGTCAACATTTTCTTTGTGAAAGGACAAAGAAAACACATCCCTCCACACACTACCCCCACCCCCCATTACAGCCCCCAATGCCACATCAATGCATATGGCTCAAGAAATCAGTTTGGCTGTGCTGTAGATGCCTCTGATGAAGTGGACTGTGCTTATGCGAGAAATATCTTCTTCTCAGTTAATATCAGAGGTGCTACACCATTTATTTATGTCTTTATGTGCTAGAGAGACATTCTCTCTGTACTTGTCTCATGAGGGGCAATAATAGCAAGGCAGTTGTCCTGAGGTGATGTTCTTATCAGTAGACCATTGTTACCAAATGAAGGATATCTTGCAAGTTAAAGCACTCTTCTTAGATGTATTCACTTTCACATGCTATCAGGTATCAGCACCCCCATCCTTTTCAAAGGTCAATAGAGCCACATCTCTTAAATTTTCCTTTTCAGAAATCCTTCCTGTACTAAAGAGGTGTGTGTGTGTGTGACATGTTCTGTATTGAGCTGGGACCAAAGGAGGCCAGGGTTCAAATCTTCTCATCCATGCAATACCACTGTCTTTGGGCTAGTTACACTCTCTGAGGCTTAGAGAAAGCCAGTGTCAAACCTTAACCTCTATGATATGGTCACCATAAATTGGAGCTGACTTGAAAGTAAATAATACCTTCAAGTACTGAGAGACTATGGTTTCTTGGTCAACTCTCTATCTCAAACAGATTCCTGTTCGATTAGCAGTTTCTACATGCCATACAGCCACATGTCTTTTGTAGAGGTGTGGTACCATTACAAGCAACCTGCCAATATATGTGGATGAATGCTATCACACTGTACATGTTTTCTTCCTGGATAACATAGGAGTTGTCAACGTTTGAGTCCTGCTGGATTAGAGAAAGTAGGAAGGAATCTGGCTGATGCAGGCAGAACAAAAATAGAATAGGATAGAAAAGAATAGAATTGCTATTTGTCATTGTGCTATTTCACAATGAAATTACATGCCTTCCCCTGCACACACCACAAAACACAAAGTGAAAGGACCAAGGCAGTAACATCTCCAGCTCATCCCCTGTTTGGATATCAGCCAGCACATCAACGACTTAAATCAAGAAATAGCTTTCTAAGATCTACAGAGACACTGGCTGGAACACCTCAGCAAGTGAGAGTCCAAAAGTGGGAGGCTCAAACCCAGAACCTCAATCAATGGCTGATAACAAATGAGAGACTCCCCCCTGGGCACACAGAAAACTGGGCGACTTGGAAGGTGCTGAACAGACTGCGCTCTGGCACCATGAGATGCAGAGCCAACCTTAAAAAATGGGGCTACAAAGTGGAATCCACAGCATGCGAGTGTGGAGAAGAGCAAACTACAGACCACCTGCTGCAATGCAACCCGAGCCCCGCCACATGCACAATGGAGGACCTCCTTGCGGCAACACCAGAGGCACTCCAAGTGGCCAGCTACTGGTCAAACTTTTAAACCAGTTGTTCCCAAACTTTTTTTGACCAGGGACCACTTTGACCAGGGACCATTCTCCAACATTAGTATCAAAAGGGTTACAAATCAGTTTTTGGTCAACTTTAGATTTGGTTTGATTATTTGGGGTGCTGATTCAGAAAATTGCATTGGATAGACCACATCAGCTCTAGTTTCTGATACAGAACACAAGACATCCAGTAGTCGCCATCTGCTCACCCAAAGAAAACCATATTTAATAATCTAGAGTTGGTGTCATAGTAGTAACCTTTCATCAGTAGTCAACTTCCCCCTTCATCCCTGTTGCCTCATCACTATAAGAGGGTTTTGCAAGACAACTCGCTCTTGTTGCCATGTTTTTTTGAGGTAATGGTGTAATAATTGTGAGACCATGTTTTCATTCTTGTGGACCACTGGTGGTCCATAGGTTGGGAGCCACTGTTTTAAACAGAGGCTGGATACTTTTCCTACATGGCAGGGGGCTGAATTGGTTCCCAACCTTTTGACCTGGGCCCACTTTGACCAGGGACCACACACATTAGTACCAGGGATGGGGCTGGTCACTTCTGAAGCCCCCGGTGGCGCAACGGGTTAAACCACTGAGCTGATGAACTTTCTGACCAAAAGGTTGATGGTTTGAATCTGAGGGGTGGGGTGAACCCCAGCTATTAGGTCCAGCTTCTGCCAACCTAGCAGTTTGAAAACATGCAAATGTGAGTAGATCCATAGGTACTGCTCTGGCGGGAAGGTAATGGTGCTCCACGCAGTTATGCTGGCCACATTACCTTGAAGGCATCTATGGACAATGCCGGCTCTTTGGCTTAGGAATTGAGATGAGCACCACTTACCAGAATCGAATACAACTGGACTTAATGTTAATGGGAAAACCTTTACCTTTACCTTTGGTCAGCTCTGCGGAAAGGAGCAGAAATAAAATTAATTAAATATAGAGTAATGAGGTTTGAGGATCAGATTTTTGTTTTTGTGGCTGCGGCCCACAGGTTGAGAATTACTGGACTAGATGGGCCATGCGGTCTCTTCCAACTCTCTGATTCTATGAAACATGGAAGTTCTGGGCATCACAATTCAAGAGAGATATTGACAAGCTGGAATGTGTCCAGAGGAGAGCGACTAAAATGATCAAGGGTCTGGAGAACAAGCCCTATGAGGAGTGGCTTAAGGAGCTGGGCATGTTTAGCCTGAATAAGAGAAGGCTGAGAGCAGATATGATAGCCCTGTATAAATATGTGAGAGGAAGCCACAGGGAGGAGGGAGCAAGCTTGTTTTCTGCTTCCTTGGAGACTAGGATGCGGCACAATGGCTTCAAACTACAGAAAGGAGATTCCATCTGAACACATGGAAGAACTTCCTGACTGTGAGAGCCATTCAGCAGTGGAACTCTCTGCCCCGGAGTGTGGTGGAGGCTCCTTCTTTGGAAGCTTTTAAACAGAGGCTGGATGGCCATCTGTCAGGGGTGGTTTGAATGCAATATTCCTGCTTCTTGGCAGGGGGTTGGACTGGATGGCCCATGAGGTCTCTTCCAACTCTTTGATTCTATGATTCTATGAAATCTCACCTTCCTGGTGTAGTTAGTGATGGCAAGAGACAACAAAGCAATTAGGTGGCAGGTACCAACTGCAGGGCTGGGAGTGCTGAAGCTCAGAAGAGGCGCTGTGGGGGCTTCCTGTCTTTTATTGGGTGCCAAAGCCCCCTCCTTGTGTCCGGCCTCTGCCCCGCTTCCTTTCCCTCCCCAGGAGATGCCCTTCTGAACCCTTCTTGAGGCAGGACCCCCTTCCTCCGTGCATTGAAGGAGGTGCGGACTCCCCCCTCCCTCCCTTTCTGCCTGTCTCCTCAAGCGAGCCCCCTCCCCTCCTGGCCCACCTTGGCCCACCCGGCCGAAAGGCGCGCTGGGGGATCGAGAGGCGCTCCTTCTTTCCCAACGGGTCTGCCCTTGTGGCTGGAGGAGGAGGAGGAGGAAGCGGTGGTGGTGGAGGAGGAGGAGCAGAGGAAGCCCCCCGAAGGGCGGCCGAGCCCCCGACTGGCGCCCTGCTCCTCAGAAGCCTTTTTCCCGCCCAGCCGGGCCCCCACTCCCGCTCGCTCCCTGCCCCTTCTTTTCTCTCAGCCTCGGGAGAGCCTCGCTTTCTCTCTCTCGCCCCCTCCTCAGAAAGTCCCCTTCCTCCCTTGCTTTTCCCATCTCGGTGCGAAGTTGTAAAGCGAGAGGTGCCGCTCTTCTGCTCTTTCTCTCTCCGGCGGCGGGGGCCACTCTCGCCATCCTCCTCCTCCTCCTCCCCACCACAACCCCCACCCCACCCCCTCCGCCTCCCTTTTCTTTTGGCAGCGCCAGGACGTCCGGTGAGGAGTGCGGGGCTGGTGGCGGGGTGCGTGCTGCTCCCGAGGAAGGTGGGCTGGGAGGGCCACAGAGGAGGCAGCGCGCGCGCCCCTTTTTTGAAAGGCTCCGGAGAACAGGAGGAGGAGGAGGAGGAGGAGGAGGAGGAAGAGGGCAGCCCGAGAGAAAGAGAGCGAGCCAGGGACGGAGGGAGCGGAGAGAGAGAGAGAGACGGAGGCACCATGAACACGCGAGGCGAAGGAGCCGGCAAGCCCTCCACCTCATCCGAGCCCGCCGCCCAGGAGCAACCTGCCGCCACAGAGCCGCCCAAGCGGGGCCGAGGCAGACCCAGGAAGCAGCCCCAAGTCAGTATCCTCGCCCCCTCGCCTTCCCTCCCATCCCTCGTGTGTGTGTGTCCCGCGGGGAGGGAAGTCCAGAAAGTGGGGGGGGGGGCACACGGGTGTTTGTTGTTGTTATGCTCTTGTTCTGCATTCGGGAGCTCACTAACCCCTGCGAGGTGGTGTGCGTGTGAGAGAGAGAGACAGGCAGGCAGGCAGGCACAGAGAGGCAGGCGAGCGCGCGCGCACAACCTTTGCCGCACGCGGGGAAAGTGGGGCTTCTGTGTGGATTTGGAAATCCCTCTTGGCTGCAGGAGGAAGGAACCCCGGGCGCGCGAGACGGAGACCGCGCGCTTCTCTCTCTCCTTCTTTCTCTCTCTTTCTCTCGCTCTGGTTGGTTGGCTCTTTCTGGTTTAAAAGGCACTCAGCACCCTCCTCGGCCTTTCTCTCTCTCTCTGTCTGCCTCTCTTTCTCTGTCCATTGTGTGTCCCTCAGGAGGACTTCTTCTTCCCAGCCGGCGGCGCGGAGTCGCCCACCAACCCACCAGCCTCCGTCGCAGCAGCAACAGAGTTGAAAATGTGCTCTGTTTGTGTGCATGTATGTATGTGTGAGAGAGATTGGTGGGCCCTTCCACACAGCTGAATAAAATTCCACATTATCTGCTTTGAACTGGGGGCCGTTCTCAAAATATCAAGGCAGAAAATCCCACATTATCTGACTGTGGACTCGGATAACTCAGTTCAAAGCACATATTGTGAGATTTTCTGCCTTGATGTTCTGAGGTATAGGGCTGTGTGGAGGAGCCCTGGGTGATCTGAGTGACTTCCATATATCTCAGTTAAAAGCCGAGAATGTGGGATTTTCTGCCTGGATATTCTGGGATATAGGACTGTGTGGCAGTATGGACTCACACAGCCCTATAGTCCATAATATCAAGGCAGAAAATCCCACATTATCTGAGTGTGGACTCAGATAACCCAGTTCAAAGCAGATATTGTGGGATTTTCTGCCTTGATATTCTGGGATATAGGACTGTGTGGAAGGGCCCTCGGATAACTCGGTTCAAAACAGATATTGTGGGGTTTTCTGACTTGATTTCTGAGATATAGGGCTGTGTGGAAGGGCCCTCGGATATGGACCCACTTAGCCCTATATCCCAGAATATCAAGACAGAAAATCCCACATTATTTGAGTGTGGACTCAGATAACCCAGTACAAAGCAGATATTGTGGGATTTTCTGCCTTGATGTTCTGGGATATAGGACTGTGTGGAAGGGCCCTCAGATCACCCAGTTCAAAGCAGATGTTGTGGGGTTTTCTGCCTTGATATTAGGGCTTATGTGGCAGTGTGGAAGGGCCCTGGGCGCATTGGGACTGTCCTGGCTGTGCCTCAGCCACGCGTGTCTATTTCCCACCCAAGCTGTTGCTGCCCTTCTCGGGCCGATTTTGCCTCACCTCCCTCTCTTGTTCCCTTCCCAAACCCCGAGTCTTTTCCTTGGAGCGGGGGCAAGCCAGACAAACCTCCCCGCTGGATGTGAGGAGGAACTGCCATTGTCGGCTGGACTTCTGGGCTCCATCTCCCGCGATTGTTTGAACTGCTTTGAGGGAGGGAGGCTTAGGTTTCCTTCCTCTTCCTGGCGCTGTTGCTTCAGGGATGCGATGGTGGGGGCACCTTTTCGCTCTCCTTTTGTAACCCATGTTTTCCTGGAAAGACACTGGGGCCCCTTCCACACAGCTGAATAAAACCCCACATCATCTGCTTTGAACTGGAATAAATGACAGTGTGGACTCAGATAACCAAGGACCTTTCCACACAGCCCTATATCTCAGAATATCAAGACAGAAAATCTTGATATGGACTCAGAAAACACAGTTCAAAGCAAATATTGTGGGATTCTCTGCCTTGATATTCTGGGTTAAAGGGCTGTATGGAAGGGCCCTGGACTCCCCAGTGGCTCCCCTGCTCAACATCCCCCCCCCCCCGCCCAAAAAATTGTTGTCCTTCTTAAAGTAGGGACTTTTCTACATTTTTTTGAAATAATGCTGATTTTTAAAATGATATCCCTGATTATGCAGCGAATTAAGATAACAATGCCCCCTCCCCCCCAGGAGAAGCTAGAAATGCTTTTGTTGGTGGTGTCTCTTGCAAAGGGTTTCTATTTCCTGGGAAGCAGCGGTGGGCAAAAATGTGTGCTGTGCTGCTGTATTTAAAGGCTCACTTCATTCATTAGTAGCAAAGCACTTCCCATCAAAGCAAATCAGATGATCAGCAAACTGACCTGAGGCTGCTTCGACACTATCCTATATCCCGGGATCTCATCCCAGGTTATTTACAGTAGAGTCTCGCTTATCCAACAAACAGGCTGGCAGAATGTTGGATAAGCAAAAATGTTGGATAATAAGGAGGGATTAAGGATGAGCCTATTAAACATCAAATTACGTTATGATTTTACAAATTAAACACCAAAACATCATGTCTTTCAACAAATTGACAGAAAATGCAGTTCAACACATGATAATGTTATGTAGTAATTAGTGTATTTATGAAGGTAGCACCAAAACATTGCAATGTATTGAAACAGCTTTGGATCCGGGTGGGAGGCAGGCTGCATTGGATAATACGGAATGTTGGATGAGTGAAGGTTGGATAAGCGAGACTCTGCTGCATCTGCTTTGAACTGGGTTGTACGGGTCTACAGTGTTTGATAATCTGGGGTAAATACATAATCTGGGATCAGATTCTGGGATATAGGGGCAGTGTAGATCCATCCTCAGGGCCTTTCCACGGAGCCTGATATCCCAGAATATCAAGGCAGAAAATCCCACTGTCTGCTTTGAACAGGAATATATGGCAGTGTGGACTCAGATAACCCAGTTCAAAGCAGATACTGTGGGATTTTCTGCCTTGATATTCCGGGATATAGGGCTGTGTGGAAGGGTCCCTAGAGTGTAAATGTGGAACACTTCTGAAAAGGGGTTCCCGTGCAGCCCACCCTGCCCTCACACCCACCCAGCCACTCAGGCCCTCCCTTTTCCCAAGTAAAATGCCTTTGGAGACAGTGGAGGCTCAATCTCTTCTTTGCATGATGTTTTGGCCCTTCCACACAGTCACATAACCAGAATATCAATGCAGAAAATCCCACAATATCTGCTTTGAACTGGGATATCTGAGTCCACGCTGCCATACATTCAAAGCAGATAATGTGGGGTTTTATTCAGCTGTGTGGAAGGGGGTATAGTTGGATCATTGGGGTTTCCCCAGTGAATGTATTGAACCATTTGTTGAACCATTGTGATGTTCTGTTTTCCTACCCCTAAGTGTCTTTCCTTCCCCTGCTTGTACCAGTTTGCTCCAGTTCTGCAGTGTGTGTGTGTGTGGTGGAGAGCAGCACAATATGGTTGGGAAATTGAGAGTTTAAGATTTCAAGGGAGTTCACAGAAATATGTTATTCATCCCCCCAATCAATTTCCTCCTCTTCTCTCCCAGGGTTTTGTATGAATTGTATGAAACGTTTGTGATTCCTTTGGAAGGGAGGTATGTCAGCTAAAGCACAATCTTATGGATATCTACCCAGAAATAAGTTCCCCAACCCACTGAATTCAGCAGGGTTTATTCCCTGGTAAGAGTGCAAAGGATTGTATTCTTCCCTCATAAAACTTTTCCCAGTTCGGAAAAAAAAAATGTTTAAGGCTCCTCTTAAAAACACACACACAAAACACACGCTGCATTTAATTAGCCCTACAGCCTCCTGTAATCCAAATGAAATGTTCAATATTTGGAATTTGGATGTGGGTTCTTTCTTTCTGCATAGTACATATGATTCATTGAATAAATATTTGAAATCTGAAAGCTTAATCATATCCATTTAAATGACTCTCTTTATTTACTATCAAGCAGAGAACCCATGGCGGGTGGAAGAGGTGGGGGGGGGGGTTAGGAGGAGGCGGAATAGCTAAAACAGTCATTGCTCTTGAATTGTTTGAATCCTGCTAGGCACCTTTTAAATTCTGCCTTAGTTTTTCATTTTGCCAGAACATGGTGAAGGCAAGCCTCCCCCTGCCCCCCGCTTCACAATGCACAGCATTCCATTAAGTTAGACAAATGGAAATAAATCGAAAGGTCCGGAACAAAGCAAACATCCCTTTTGAAAGTCTTAAGAAAATAAAAGCTGTCTATAGTTTAAACTAACATGGATATTTCATTTTAATAAGAAATGTTGGAGGTTTGCATCTTATTTCATGTTACTTATGTGACTGTTGATTACAATAAGTCCTGAGTAGTTTGAAAAACAAAAACCACCCTTTAACAATTTAGCTGGAAAGAATTCAAAAATACAAACTTTTAATTTTTTTTTACAGTTTTTGTCATACAAGTCCAGTGATTATGATGTCACATTCTACTTGTATTGTGGATTGGTCCATGAGGTCACAAAGAGTTGGAAGCGACTGAACGAATAAACAACAACCACTCTCTCTGTTTATTTTCTTTCATATTTAAAACTGAATCACTCAGCGACACAGTTGGCTTTGTGCAGCTGCTTGGATTTAGGATGCAGTGTATTTTTTGTTGAAATCCTTGCCCCAATAGCATGTCTTCCTCTATTTAGGAACCAACAGGAGAGCCATCTCCTAAAAGACCAAGAGGACGACCTAAAGGAAGCAAAAACAAGAGTCCATCTAAAGCAGCTCAAAAGGTGAGATTACCACAGAGTAAAAGATTGGCTTGGATTACCAGCCACTCATTCTCCAATACCCAAAGACTCTTGCATATTTAACCTCTTCAACTGCAGCATTTGTGTTGCTTTAATATTAATTTATGTTGGAATGTTGTAGGAGAATCCTAGGTATAATAATTTATAATAATAGTAATAATAATAATTATTATTTTATTTTTGTGCCCTGTCTCCATGAAGGAACTCAAGGTGGCTTACACATGACACAAAGTGACCATTTTTTTGTCATATCAGGAACAACTTGAGAAACTTCAAGTCGCTTCTGGTGTGAGATAATTTGCCATCTGCAAGGATGTTGCCCAGGGAATGCTCGGATGTTTACCACCCTTGTGGGAGGCTTCTCTCATGTCCCTGCATGGAGAGCTGGAGCTGATAGAGGGAGCTCATCAGTGCTCTTCCTGGATTCAAACCTCCGGCCTGTCGGTCTTCAGTCCTGGCAGCACAGGGATTTAACCCACTGCACCACTGGGGGCTCCTAAAGTGCCTAAAAACTATGCATAAAATAAACACACAGTACAATACAAAAAAGTAAAACCAATAGCATATAAACACAACACTTTAAAAACTCAGAACAATGCCCAATGGTGACAACTGCCGTAAGACATGGCCAAACTGTAAACAAGACAAGGGAATGGGATAGTGCAAATTGTAGCCAAGGAACAAGGGCATGGGATGAAAGTGCAGTGCTGTGTCATTAATTGCGTACCATTGGGCTAGTTTACATTCTCAAAGGCTTGTTTAAACACCCAAGTCTTCAAATCCAAGTCTTTATATACATTATGCCTTTCTGTATGCAGGGCTATTCTCTAGATGAAATAAAATTTAACTACTGTGAAACTTGAACATTCTGAAGGTCTGACATTCAAATTCTCCAGGGCTCTTAACACTATACTAAACTATCAACTGGGGCTCAGTGTTTTGTTACACATGAAGTTAGTAATAAAAAAGCCAGTGATCCACTGGTGGAAATTAGAATGCTTCTGAAAATGTATAGCTGCCAGATACTGGTATCTCTATCTGACTGTCTTTTGTTGTTCACACATTAGTTTCAGAGAGGAAAGCTTTAGAAATAAAGCCATGGAGCCATCATTGTGAATTGTGGCACTCAGCTGAAGACCTTGATTAGTTCAAGGATTTTTTTTCCCCCACCAGTAGATTTTTAAAAAGTTGTGTGGTTCATTAAAGAGGGGCTGGTTTGGGTTGAGATGGAGAAGAAATTGTTTTCATTTAAATGCAAAAATTGAGTTATAATAATACCAGGGTAATAAAAACTCCCCCTCCCCAAAGAAGTCTGGTGACCTTAAGACACAGTTCTGTGTAGCTTTGAAAATAAACACAGGAGTCATGTTTCTGTAGACAAGTCTCACTGCAGTTAGCACTAGCACTCTTAATTTACAAGTATGATGACAAAAACAAAACTTTACCCAATCTGGAAGTCTATTATAGTGCTAGAAGTTTGTTCTAGAAACTCTGTTAATTGTCATAAGGTGTGTAGAATAATTGCGTTTCAGAAATATATAAAAAAACAAGGACTGTTACGTTTGATACTTTTCAGAGTTATAAATTAGCATAGCAACCTATGATAAGTACCCATTTAGGGGTTGACTACAGCTTCTTAACTATGGTTTTGTATCTTTTGAAGTTTGTCAAATAACAATTTGGGAAAGCTTTCCCTACTTTCTTTACATTTGTGTCCTCTTTTCCTGTATTTCCCTGTTCTTTGCTACAGAAGTTTAACCACAGCTTTTACAGTCAACAAAAAATACACCTTTAAAAAGTCCACTATAAAGTTACATAAATATAGACAAGGGCAAAGAGAAAGTTACTGGTGTTGGAGCAAGAAAATATTATAACTTGGGGGCGGGGGGGGGGGGAGGGAGTGAAAAAAAGAAGGCATAATAGAGATGGGGAGAAAATTAGTACAGAAAAGTTTTTTCCTCTTCCTCTGTCTAGAACCAACAACTACCCAATAAGATCTAATTTTGGGAGATTCAGGACAAATATTTATTTATTTATTTATTGCACTTATATACTGCTTTTTTCACCCCTGTGGGGGACTCAGAGCAGTTCACAACATATATACCGGGCCCTAGAGAAGTGCACTTGGAAAGGACCAGATGCAGAGCTTTTTCTATTTCTGCCCCTGCCTTGTGGAATTCCTTGCCGCCCTATAAGAGAGCCATTCGTGAGTTAGGGCCTTTTACCCTAGCACTCAAGACCTGGCTTTTTACTAGAGCTTTTGATCTATGTTAATTTTATCAGTATCTGTATGTATGCATTTTTATCCTTTACAATTTGAGCTTGTAAATCGCCTAGAGCATCTTGGATGGAGGGCGATTAATAAGTAATTAAATGATGATGATGATAATCAATGGCAAAAATTCAATGCCTTAAACAAACAAACTTCACAAATAAATCAACAGCAAATAATAATAGATTAAAACCATTTAAACTATCAAACTATAACAAAATCACAGACAACATAAAACATTTAGAGATGTGTCTGTATATTTAAATACATGAAGTGGTGAGCAAAACAAACGTGTTATTTTAAAGCATTCTACTTGAATTTTTGTGTCCTGAGAGCATGAAAGAGAAACAAAGTATTTATGGGAGAGTAGATGTTTTTGAACACTAACCACCACTTCTGAAGATTTGCTATACATTTTCAGACAGTGCATCGGCATATTATCTATTCCTATTCACTTCTTTTGTATATCCCTCATTGAAATAACTGGAAGTTGAATAAAAAGCAGCACAAAAAGGCAACTGTGCTGTTAGCCAACTCCAATTCATTGAAATAGAGTCTAGATAAATGTAGTCGAGGAACATTTAAAAGATGTTCACAGGATTTTTGTTTTTTTCATGTCAGGAGCAACTTGAGAAAATGCAAGTCGCTTCTGGTGTGAGAGAATTGGCAGTCTGCAAAGAGGTTGCCCATGGGATGCCCGGATGTTTTACCATCCTGAGGGAGGCTTCTCTCATTTCTCCGCATGAGAAGCTGGAGCTGACAGAGGGAGCTCACCCTGCTCTCTGGATTCAAGCCACCAACATTTCATCTACAATGAAATCATAGTGAAATCTAGTAGATGTCATGTTCACAGTGAAATCATAGAGAAATCTAGTAGATTGTAACCAAAACAAATATCCTCAGAGGAGATGTTTCCTTTAATGTATTTTAACGTTCACTTTAGAGATTCATTTGTTAACTATTTTTGAAAATCCCCAGCCTCCAAGAGTGCTTACAATGCAATCTTCCTGTAGAGATACATGTGCACTATTCCATTTATTCCAGTGGAAGAAATAAATGTAAGAAATACAAATGTTCTTACAGATCAGTCTCATCAGTTGGATAGAAAAGCTCTATATGTATAAACCACAGCAATATATTATAATTTTGTAACCTGGAAAAATCCCTTGGATTTGCATATAGATACACCTTCATACAATGCTATATAACATCTGCATATGGTGTTATATATCATGCCCCGTGGCACAGCAGGTTAAGCTGCTGAGCTGCTGAACTTCCTGACCAAAAGGTTGGAGGTTTGAATCCAGGGAGCAGGGTGAGCTTCCGCTGTTAGCCCCAGCTTCTGCCAACCTAGCAGTTTGAATACATGCAAATGTGAGTAAATCAATAGGTACCACTTCTGCAGGAAGGTAACTGCTGGCTACATGACCTAGGAGGTGTCTATGGACAACGCCTGCTCTTTGGCTTAGAAATGGAGATGAGCACCACCACCACCACTCCCAGAGACAGACACGACTAAACTTAATGTTAAGGGGAAACCTTTACCTTTTATCATGCCATAATAATTACTTTCATAAAGCAGCTGGAAGTGTTTGGAAATATTTATTCCTCTCTTTATAAGTATTAATTTTAGGAGATGTCATTTTTAGAAGATAATTTGTATCTTTCTAAGACATAATTCTTAAATAAAGAAAGAAGTATTGCATTATTTTTAGCTTTAAAAAACAACTATGCTTGTTAACTGTAGAGGTCATGTGGTTAATAAATGTGGTTCCCGTGCAGCAAAAAGTTTCTGGAATTTCTGATGAATAATGGGTGGCCTTTTTCTCAGAGTGAGCTAATTGAAATGTGCTATGCTTACAACACGCAAAATAAACATGTACTGCTAGTATTCACAGAGGAGACCTAAGACAGAATTTGTGATTAATTGACAAGGTGTTCTTTTGCAAACTCTAAAGACAGCATATATTTTTAAATGTATTCTAAACAACTGGCAAGGAATTTAAAAATAGCTATGCAAAAAGGTAGACCTTGCTACACTGTTACATTTTGAGAGGCAAATACAATTTAATCTATTAGAATTGTCCTGACATGTTAAGTTTTGTGGGTATTTTAATTGTGTTGTAGCTTGATGATTTTGGGGTGTGGGTATGGGTTTATTTGTTCTACTTTCACTACTTATGTTTGGACTTTAAAAAGTAGCAGGAACTAAAAAAACAAACTGAACTTCTTAGGAAATTAGTAGTGTGATACTTGACAATGTACACAATGCTGCAGCTTGTTTCTTGTTTCACAAATTCCAAAGAATAGTTCTGTAAAAACAGTTGTATAGAGACCCATAGCTGAAATAATAACCTGTGTTCAGTTTTTATGGTTATGTTGAAATCATAGTTAGAGATAACAACAAAATGTCTGGAGGAAGGGGGAGGAATGTAATCATTTTGTATTGCAAGGTTGCTCCTTTTTCAAGCTTTATATCCATGAACAAATTACAATGGTACGATTTGACATACTCTTCATTTTATTTCAAATGAGATGTTTGTTTTATATAATGACAATGCATTGACAGCTTTCAGATGTCTTAACTATAATTACAAGTTCAACAGCATCAAAAAGAGATGCTGTTTTGAAAATAGAACTTCCTGTGATGCATGTATTCATAGTCTTTGTAATTTCTGTACATGCTTACTGGAAAAATGGGCCTTTGACT